GTGGGTGGACAATATTAAAATGGATCTTAGAGAGACAGGATAGGATTGTATGGATTGGATTGATCTCGCTCAGGATAGGGACCAGTGGAGAGCTCTTGTGAACACGGTAACAAACCTTCAGGTTCCATAAAATGCTGGGAAATTCTTGAGTAGCTGCAGAATTTGCGGCTCCTGAAGAAGGGCTCAGGTCAACGAGTAAGTAAGTAAGTATCATTATTATCATATAAGCAGTGTTGCTGCATTGATCAGGCTCCATACTGTGGGGTGTAGGTGGCATTTGGAAAAATATCTTACTACTAATGAAGGTGAGTGGTCAATTTTACCCTTGGGGAAAGGACAACCAGAATCAGTTGGGTACAAGACTGGGATGTGATCTTGAAGAGAAAGGTCTCTGCCCCTACCAGAAATTGTACTCCAAACATTCAACCTACAGACAGTCACAACACTGTGTTGTTATAAAAGTGATGGTCCTTAAGTAGATGTCAGAGTGGTTCAACATGTTAGATTTATGCTAGTGCGTGTTACAGCCTTGATTCCACATGTTGGAGGTGAAAAGAATTTCTACTCTTGGTCCCTTGCTTCTCTGACAGTGCTACTGGTTTTTGTATCAGTTAGGGGAAGTACAGGACAGAACTGGAGAGTTCAGAAATTAATTATCTTTCTCGTCCTTTTCCAGTACTGTAAATACTGAGACCTGATTAAATTCCTGTAATATGAACAATTTATATAGAAAAATAATGTAAGTAACTAGATGTATATACACATTATTTTTGTAGCTGCATTTATAGCTGAAACACAGCACAAAATCTTCAAAATGCAATATGAATGTTTTAAGTTCCCTGTGTTTAGAACACTTCTTGTAAGCCACATCCCAAGCAAAATGCCTTACTCTAATTTAATTCTGAATTACGATTACTTGATTTTATTCTGTGTGATATATATGGCAATATCTGTATGTTTGGCTGTGGGACATTTTACTGTTTGGTGTGGATATACTGAGAACATCATGAATATTTAGCACTTGCTGGGGCTCTGTCACATTCCAATTTGAGAAAGTACAAACTATATTAACCCTCTCAGGTCTTTTGTCAGACTCAGTATGACATTTGCAGAACTCGTGTTATGGTCTAACTGGGGGCTTATGACACTTGCAGAAGTCACATTCCAGTTCAAAGCTGGATTCACTCTCATACTTGTGGAAATATGTTTCACAAAAATGTTGGATTCAGCCTGACATACTCTGTACCTTAGAATAAATTAAATTAAAGGGGTTCTGTGACTTTGCATGTCATTACATCCTCATATATGTAGCGTACATGAGAAAATATTGCGATTCTAAAACACACGTTTTCAGGCTCATTGAATATGAAAACGTGGTTTTGGCATGCCATCTGTATATATGTGGTATGTATGTATGTATGTATGCTCACTAGTGCCTGAATGGTTGGACAGATTTTATTCATATTTGAAATTGAAGAGTTTATTTATCATAGGTCAATGCCCAGTGAATATGAACATTCCAAATCCAAAGATAGGGACGCAAAATAAAATGGCTGTAATTATTTCAAAAACAGCTTATATGATTTTAATCAAATGTCATTAATCTGAGAAGACATTTCGAAATAAAATTTCATAGATGGTATCGCCATGAAAATAATGATGTTTGCACCAGGGCCTTAAACACAAAATATAGTTTTTGTTGAAACTGGCTTTACCAATGAGATTTTATTGTTGTTTAGTATTCAGCAGCCAACAGTGGTCTACTAGCCATGACAAATTTTGTTTCCAGTGTAATGTAGTCAAGGTCACTCATATATGAGAAAGTACGTGCAGTGACTTCACACTGATTTTTAAATATATGGTCTTCAAGAGGGATAATCTATTGGACTTCATTTACAAAGTCATGTTCCATTCCAGAGTGGGCTTGAGTCCGACAGTCTTTAAATTCAAACAAAACAAGCAGATATGGTGTACTATTATGTAACAAAGTACATGGACCTCAAAGGGTTAATATTTTTCATATTTTTTGTGTTAAACCACTTATTAATTTCTTTAAAAATTTAAATTTTATATTTTTTAAGATATATATGCACATAGCAATACTCTAAGCTCATCACTAGTTCCATTACCATTTCACGTAATGTTCTGAAGGCCTATAGGCTTACATGCACATACTTGGGCTGCTACTGGAACTACTACAAGGGCAGATTCCATTCTCCTGTTTCCCAAATAATGGCCTTTAGATAACCTGTTGAATCATGCAGTTATTCTGCTTTTAGAATAGCATTCCTAGGGTTCTATATATGGTATGTGTTGGTCATTTGTATATTTGCAGTGAATTAAAAAGTTTTAAGAATGATGAAACAGTTATTCTTTTTTATACAGTACATGCATTCTTGAAAAAAATCATGTAAATGTGTAAAATGAGCAATTTTCTGTAAGATGTGAACAGAAATGGGGGGTTCCAAGAATGGGCCAATCTAGTGCAGAGACTTCATGCAAAATGTTATACTTGGTTTGTTATTTTATTTCAGATTTTATACCACTGCCATGCAGCTATATACGAGGAGTGTTCCGTATATAAGGCCTCCTTTTCTTTTAATGAAAACTACAACAGATACAGAAAGCATAATAACGCAGTTAAATAGAGCAAGATTTCAGCTACTTACAGTTATTTTTCCACATAATCACCACCATTCATTATGCTCTTTTGCCAGCGATAATGAGCAAAACAAATTGTAATAAAATGACTCCCTTAACGAGCAACGTTTCACATATCGAGTGACAAGAGGGGAAGTCCCGGATTGTGCGCTTGCTACATCAGTCTGTGTTTAGCACTCGTTCTGCTAGCATCTTAGTGTCGCTTGTGATCACACATTTTTCCAAACTTTTGTTCAGACATATTATTTGTGATTTTTTTTTTGTGCAAAGAATAATAACCCTTGCAAAAATGTCCCTGAAGAAAAAGCCGCAAAAAAACAGCCATAAAGGAATAAAAATAACCATAGAAATGAAATGTAAAATCATTGAAAAGCGAGAACAAGGTGTGAGCATGGCTGATCTAGCACACACATACAATCGGTCTACATCAACAATTTGCACTATCCTCAAGAACAAGGACAAGATTAAGGAGATAGGTGCTTCAAAGGGAGTGACAAGAATATCTATGCAACGGTTATATATTCTCGACGATGTTGAAAGGTTGCTCCTCATATGGATAAATGAAAAGCAATTGCAATGCGACACTATTAACGAGAACATCATTTGTGAGAAGGCGAAAGTGATTTTCGCTGACCTCATTAAGAAGACGCCAGGATCATCAACAGCTGAAGAAGCAGCATTTAAGGGAAGCCGTGGGTGGTGGCTATGCACGCTACAAATTTATTTAATGATAATGCTGTGTCACATTTTCACCAAATTTTGAAGCGCCAGCAAAAACAAATGTCTCTAGACAGCTTTCTAGTAAAAAAAAAATTAGATATGTATCATAAATAATAAACTAATTATTTAGATTCTTTTTGTTTTCTGCAAATCGAATTCGCATTCCAGGTTGGTTCAGTCCGCATAGAAGAAAAGATGAAGATGATTCATGCTCCTTGACAATGTATATATCATTTTCTTTGAATAAATGTTATACATCAAATTTTTTTAGTATTTTTTTCAGCATGGAACACATCATATTTTACATTAATTTATATGGAGAAAATTGTTTCGCTTAACAAGTGTTTCACATTACAAGTAAGATTCTGGAACAAATTATGCTCGTTAAGCGAGGTTCCACTGTAGTGATTTAATTTTTTCACAGAAAAATTTTTGGCCAGGTACTACAGAATCTGCTATTTATGGGAATGAGAACCAATACCAAATCCATGGGGCAACAGGTCATGCAATAATGGGCATTTATTGAGGTATAAATAACCAGAGGGCATTTCTGTGGAAAAGAAATCTCATCTATATGCTCGATTGCCACATGCTGTGACATTGTGTCTGTAATAAGAATATTGCTCTTGTGCTATACAGGTACATGCAGAATGGAAGTACTGTCACCGCCTTTCCATTTATGGCCTCTTCTGATGCTATTTATAGCACATTACCATTAAGTACAGGCTGTCCTATTATTGCTTTTACTTCCAGCAACATTACCCATACAAAGTCTAATTTTCTACTGATCTATAATACAGTTATGTTTCATCATAAAGGTGACTAGTCACAATTTTAAGAGTGCAGTTTTTTGTTGTAATTTCATGTACTTTGGATGGAAGAACATGTGTCTCCATCTTCAGGATCAAAGAGTAAGCCAAGAAAGAAACTAGCAGAAGCAGGTGGGAAGCTGATACTACTGTCTGTTTCTGCTTATTTCTTGCATGGCTTACTCTTTGATCCTGAAGATGGAGGCAGTATGTTCCTGCAAAATATCATGTTCTCTCTGACATACACAGTGCTGCAACCCAGAAGACTGTATTCTTGATATTCACTGATGCAAGAACCTGACTCCAACAAATCCATGTTTACTTAATCAGGTAAAAAAGGTACAGGTAAAGCTATCTCTGTAACAGGCTATGGAGGTCCACAGGGTTGTGAGACATCGAGGCTCCCACATTTTTTAGACAATCGGATCACAGATGGCGGTGAGGTTGTCAGACCTATGCGCCAGCCGCCCTTTACCCCCCAGGAAGATTCTTGGTAGTATTAATTTCTGTTAGATGCTGAGTTGACCCCAGGGCCATAGTGCAGCTGAAAGTATTAGGTCAACTGAAAAATCCAATGACCTCATCAAGAATTGCACCCACAACCTTCTGGCTTGTAGTATGGTGCCTCAACCAACTATGCTACCGCTTGCTCCCCATTTACTTATTCACATGAAACTTTTATATTTGCTTAAAAGTGAATCATCATATCACTGCCTTGTTTCCTAATCATAATCTTCAACAGTTGCAATTTTTCTGTTACCATGCTGATGAGAAGTGTATGTCACTAGAGCAAGGCTACTGCTGGCTCACCTGATCCATTTTCCCTGCCTTTAATCTGGCATTTCATGTAAAGGATAATGCCCCTGCAATAAATTACATGGGTAAGGTACATATTTAAATGTCTTCCTGTAAGAAAAAATCTATCACCTCAGTCTGACAATAAGACAAGAGATCCACTAAAGCAGTGTTGTATGAACAAATGTCTGTTCTTAACGTCAGACATATCACAGGTAAAATCTTCACCTGAATATTATATTTTAAGCATGTAATACTTACACTATATTTGGATTAGTTATAATTGCTGTTGCTTCTTTGTTTGTATTGTATTGTGGCATATAGACCCATTGCTAAGCGGTGACTCTGTAAACAGCCATTGCTGTGTAATGCCAGCAACATGCATGCACACAATAGAAGAGCTGTGTTTTCTATGTGGTCCATGCCAAGACGTTATAAGCAAGAGACAAGGTTAGAGCTTAGTCAGTTGAGTTCTGAATGGGAATCTGTGAAGAGAGGAGCCCGGAGGTATAGGAATAGCCATTGTTGGAGCCGTTACCAGGAAACATCTAGTAACAGATTTAAAACAACAGACTGTCTGCTCTAGTGATCTGGCAAGTGTGGAAATAGCGATAGTGTTATAGTTATTTGTAGTTATGACCTGTAAGTGGTCAATAAATCCATTCACCAATCCAAACCCCATCTACCGTCACACATACTATGTGATAGTATATTGTTTGGTGAACTGTATATACACAATGAGATAATAGTTTATTATAACTAGTTTAATTAAATTAATTATAAAATGACTGAGTAGAATACTAGATTAAACAGCAAGGATGTTATGACATGTTGGATAAGTGACTCAGGTGGGACAAACAAGAAATACAGGGAATTCTGATGGTGAAATTTCATGAAAAGTGGCCATGTACCATTAGCCTTTCATATAGGTTATAAGGATTTGAAGAAAATGAGGCAAAGGAAGTTTGTTTCAGAGATTCCTGTTATATTTTACGTAATAAAACTTCCTCAATTTTCATATCTTAAGTGGGATTTTGCTGTCACATAACTTGGTACTTACACAACATAGAAAATGGACTTCATCAGGACAGTAGGCTTTCATCATGCTGCAGCATAGTTCATAATCATTTTCTGAAACAGCAGATGGATAAGTCAACTGTAGTTGGTAAACATATAGCTCTGTTAGAAACTGTACTTCTTATCGTTCTGATGTTACTCATTTTAGGCTGCACTCTTGATGTTAATTCAGTTCTTGGGTAGTTATACCACATGGATTTTGGCAATGACATTTCAGAGGTACATAACTCCTCCATCTTCAGGATGTAGGGTGGGCAAGGTTCTATAATATATATCGGTTTACATTTAAAAAGAAGCCTTGAGGGGGAATGGGGGTTGGTACCCTGTCCCAGCTGACACAGTGAATCAGGAAGGCTGTGCAGGAGAGATATCAACCACCATTCTTCCCCACTGGCCTGTGGTTTTTGGAAAACATAAACCTATATATACACAGAAACTCACCCACCCTACATATTTTTACCCTAAAGATGGAAGCAGTATATACATTTGAAATGTTGGCAACACTACCTACATCCACATGGTGTAACCATCTACGATAAAATTAATATCAACCTGACAGCTCTATGCGTGCATGAAATGACTCTTGTTTAATACCTGAAAGAAGGATGTCAAGGTACTGCCTTAACATTCACCTGAATAAAGAAAATCTGAGAGCTGTTGTATAGGACAGCCAGTAACCTGGCTAAAATTAAAATCAGGTACCTCCCACATACAAGACTGCATCTGCCTGCTTAGAGTAGAGTTCAAAGATTGGTCTTTGGGGTTTGGGAATTTCTCTAAGCTCTTACTACATCATAGGTTGTTCAGGAATGAAAATATGTATACAGTTATATCGCAGACTTATAACTGAATTCCAAAACACAGGCCATAAGTTGAAAAAACATAATTTGAGAACATTATAACATATGAGGGAAAGTCAGTAAATAGGTCACAAATGCAAGTAAAACAGCTGTAATGGACATAATAGGTTTTCTATGTGTATCACAAGGTAGCAGCACAGTCCAACTTCATGATAGTCTAGGTATCAGATGCACATACACATGTTCAGAGGCTGGTTTTAGTAGTCAAAATGTCAACCATGCTTGAATGTGTACTACCAAAGAGTAGAATTCTGCTATGCATTTTTCTGTGGGCAAGAGAACTCAATGCAAAGGATATTCACAAAGAAATGTTTCCTGTTTATGGTGGGAAGCGTTTGTCGCGCAAAGACGTTCCACCTTGGTGGCAAATGTTCCAATGATGACGAAGAAGTTGAAACACAGTTGCGGAAATGACTGAGACAACAGTTGAAAAATTCAATGCTGTGAGTTTTGGGGAGAAGTGTATCAATGTCGTTGGAGGATATGTTGAGAAATGAATGTTTTTTCCAGGTTTGAGTATCACATGTTTTACATTTTATATCCATTTATGACCTATTTACTAACTCTCTCACATAGCCCTTACTTCCTGGAGCCCAAGGCTCAGACACATTTTTCAACATTGTAAACCTACTGCATAATAATGTTATTATAAAATTAATAAAGGGACATAAAATAACACAGTATTAACATTTAATATATAAAAGATGTTAAAATAAGCAGGTTAATAAATATAATAAATATATAAACAAGTGAACTTGTATCAAAATCTGGAATCTCCAGCATCTCGTCAAATTCAGATGGGTGGAAGACTTTGGAAGGGACTAAGATTGGCAGAGGATGTCAGTCTTTCTGAAGAAGCTGTCCAAGGTCTGCACTTCAGGTTTGTGCAATGTAAGTATCATAAGTGTAACTGGGGTTAATTTAATGGGATTGTTCTGTCTAGAATTTCTAAGTCATAAGTCATAGGTCAAGGTACAAAGGTACCCAGTTACATTCCTTGTGATTTTGCACACCTCACTGGCCTTGATATACATTTGTCTCATGTATAGACGTATTATTGCAAAGCTAAACAACACAGACATGACAATGCACAATGACAGTTTCCTTGTAGTTAAATACAGAACACATAAAAAATATTATAAATGAAAGCTATGTATCTCAATAAAATTGCAGAGTTTATACTTTATATGTAATTTATCAGTACTTTTTACAGTGAACCATTCTGCGGGAAAGAGGTTGTTAGAACTGAATTTCATATAGAGTAGGATCACTATTGGACCAATATAGCCCAAATTCAAATTTTCCCTATAATTTTTAGTGTAGACCTTCAATACCAAATTCAATCAAAATCCACTAGGTAGTTTCTGGGATAATGTAAGCAAATGGATGGACAGCTTTTACATAATGTATTCAACTAGCATAATGCACCTTTTGCAATGAACACATAAAAGCCATACTTAATCTTCATGGCATGATCTTAATTAAGTTCATGTCTGTGGTGTGTATTATCAAGATTATGTCTTGGTTACTGACTACATACATATCAAAACTTCTTCATAAATTAACTATCAGATGCATTTTGACTTGTCAGCTATTGCTGTGGTACTGGTAAGTGTAAATAGTCATGTACAAAGAAATAACCATATGTTGCAAATCTAAATTCACAGTATATAGTACAAAGTGGGACAGAGTCTATTTTCAGACATTTAAAATGTTTCATGCAAAGCTGTCAGAATACTGCATATATATCAGGAACTCCTGCACCAAAATCAAGAAAACAAAAAATGACTTAAAACCAAATGAAAAAAGAAATCACAAAATGGGTCATATTCTACAAAAACTAGTATCCAATACACAAAGACAGTCCAACTTCCAGCTGCTAAGGAGCAGCAGTATATTTTAGGTACCTACCTATGGGTCACATAAAAAATATATATTCTTCCAGAGTACCAAAACAAATATCTGTCATGCACTCACTGACTTTGAAGTGCAAGCAAATGAGTAACAACTAGACCGTAAAGCTAAAAACATTTACTTATATGTTACCAGGTAAATGCACTTAAAAACTAGCTGCTAAAGTTTGCTAGACTATATACACATTGTAACCTTCATGGTATGCATCCTGTTGTGTGTCATACGAAAGATATATAATGGGACAGTCTACACAACAGTAATTCTGAAAAAGACAAAATAGACACTACTGTGTCAAAATTTGTTTTTATTAGCTGCTGGTGGTAATGCTACATGTTTCGATCCTTTTCTTGGTAATTTTCCGGCATACAAGAATGCTGGTACTATAGTTCTTGAATTGTGTCATTAATCAATATGAACTCATATTATGTTTCTATGAATTTTATACTAACAAATACAATTTAATTTTTATATACACATTGCACACAGTTCTCCAGATGTGGACCCCCAAATAGACAGATCTGGTATGCATGTAACCTAAAATTAAACTACGATTTATAATAACAAAAAATAAAAGGCATTTTTCTCATTTTTTTTATCATAAGTATTTTGTCTATAATGCAACAAAATCAACCTTTTATAAAAGACATTAAAATATATTTAATACACTAAAAATGTCTGTTAAATATTTTAAATGTCCTTAACGATATACATTCATTTTTTTTTTTTGTTGCTACATGTTTCGGCCACACATGGGCCATCATCATGCAACACTTATTATTGGGGAGATCACTGCACCATACACTGTTTAAGCTATATGACCAAAATATTCTGTTACTTTTGTCTTCTGTGCCGTTAAGCACATCGTTGTTTTTATTATTAGTTTCTTTCATAGGATATTTCCATCATATCTTTTTGGTGGCTATTTCAGTCTTTTTTATGTCATTTACCTTTGTTGTGTATTCTTTTGTGGTGATGACCCCTGGGAAGATGTTATGATGATGATGATGAGGAGGAGGAGGAGGAGGAGGAAAGCATATTGAGCTCTTAAAGTCTACTGCTGAAATACAGAGTGACCACAATTTATTCACCATGTTTCAGGTACAAACAAAACACAGTGCATATGAGATACGGATAATTAGTTTGCTTTATTTGAAAGAACAACTCATCAAGTTCAACACATCCCAATGTGAATGCAACTTGCAGCTTGCAAAATGTCCAAATGGTACTCAGTTTCACACCATGTGCTTTCCAGTATCTGGGGTGTCACAGAAGCAGCTACAATGTTGATTCATGTACGAAGTTCAACCACGTGACTGCACCATAGCTCAAGTGGTTAGTCACTGGCTCCCCACCGCGGCAGCCAGGGTTCGATACCGGGTCTAGTCAAGTGGGATTTGTGGTGGACAAAGTGGCGATGGGGCAGATTTTCTCCAAGTACTTCGGTTTCCCCTGCCAATCTTCATTCCACCAAATTATCCATCATCATAATCACCCAGGGCAGGCTACAATAGGCCAATTAGTGGCCACCGTGCCAAGTGTACCCAGTGGGACTCCCCCCCCCACTAAGCAAATAAAAAAAAAGTTCAACCACACTAGCAACAGTTGGAAGGAATATCTTGTCCTTTATATGGTTCCAGTATAACAAGTCCAAGGGATCATACTGGGAGAGCAAGGGGACCAAGGAATTGATCTGTCCCACCAAAACCGTTTGGAGAAGTTTTATTCACAGACTCTCACTGTAAGGTCCCAGTGTGGAGGAACACTATCCTGCTGATAGAGAATGCTTCACTGAAGGTGCGCCATTGCTGTGCATCACTTAAAAGCTTCACAAACCACCTCAACTGTGTCAGTGTCTACTGAAGGCCTGCCTATGTGTCCTTCTCATGGAAGACACTACCTGTCTTTGGAAACTGTTCCAACCGTTTTCCAAGCACTTGTTCTCCATATTCCTGACATTAATGTCCTTGTACTTGAATAACTGATTTGTTTCCCAGTGATGCAACACAGATATTACCTTTTTCTGGGGAGAAAGTGCCATTTTGTGTTCATCAGCTGTGTACATTTCAGCAGCACTACTATCAGCCATGAAATCAAGTAACAAAAATTTTTCAGCAGTTCTTTCAAACAATGCAATCCATTTCCCAATATCTCTAAAAATTTATGATTCATGTAAGTTTGAAGGGTAGTAAATAATTTATGACAAGATTATACAATCTTGGTTGTTTAAGACGATTTCTGCTTGGCAGTTGTTGAAAATACTTACCTTCACAGGACTAAGTACATGTGTAAGCTGAAGTCCAAGACTACGAAGAACCACAACTGGAGTCAATGTTGTTCCATACAATTTCTGCAGGCCTTCAGTTGCCAACATGGTAGGCAGATTATGTCTTTGCCTCAAAGTCTCATATTTCATAAGGTGAGACATGTTCCCTGGAAACAAAATCCTCAAATTATGTATACATTAGTACAAGGAAGTTATCTTAATTAAGTTCTTGTTTATTTTTACATATTCTATCCACCTATCTACTGCTGCTGCTCCGACCTGGAGCATAGGGCATCCATGAAATGCTTGTTTCACTTCAATTTCTTAATCTTAGACAGATGGTAGGATGCCTTGGATGAGCAATCAGCCTGTCACAAGGCTGCTACCTACACACAAACACAGAATTAACGCAGATAAGATCCATGCCTTGAGTGGGACTCGAACCCACAAGCCTAATATTCAAGAGGGCAAAGAAATTTCATACCTTATGCCATGCATCAACTGTGACTGGCATTTTTATATATTAGGAGGATTATAACTGTAGGGAACACACCAGATTTAGATCTAATGCTGATGATAATTTATTGGGAACAATGTAAGTAAAGTAAAGCTATCCCTGTAACAGGCCGTGAAGGCTCATAGGGTTGTGAGACATTGTAGGTCCCACATTATCTAGACAATCGGCTCAAAGATGGTTGTAAGATTCTCAGCCTTATGCGCCAGCCACATTTTACTCCCCAGGAAAATTATTTAATTAATTCCTGGTACTCATTTGTGTTGGAGGCTGAGTCAACTCCAGGGCCATGGGAACAATGTAAGTACCATATAGAAAAGCACAGAACTCCTATCAGATGCTAATAAGGAGGTTATGTTTAAATAAATGGGGAGAAATCTAGGCATATGCTCAGAGTGCAGGGCAATGTCTCATAAAGACACCTAGTGAACTCTATAAAAACGTAGCAGAATTCAAACACTTGGAAAGAAAAAAGAAACAAATCAAAATTAAATTTATGAATAAGTTAAAAGTAGATATATTCTGGAAAAGCTTGCTAACATTCAGCTAGGAATTTTTCATCTTCCCATTTCCTGAAGATTAAAATATATAAACACTGTAATTTTCCCTGTTGCTATTTATGGGTCTGGAACCTGGTCTCTTACCATAAAGGAAGAATACAGACTAGGGGTGTTTGAAAACAAAGTGCTGAGAATCAAAGATCTAAGAATGTGGAAGTAACATAAGGATGGAAAATGTTACATAATGCGCAGCATCATAATTTGTATAATTATTGACTTCTGGACATTATCCAGCGCCATACTTTTATTTAAAACAACATTTCAGATATTGGACTCTGTCTCTGTCATCATGTAAAAAGCCTATCCATATCCAGGTGGGCCCAATCAATAGACCAGGTCCTTATCTGGACACCACCTCCGCTGTCTAGAGATACAGACTAGCACTACTTATAAGGTACAGCTGAGTAGGCTTTTCACTTGAGGACAAAGACAGAGTCTGGATTCCAAAATGTAATTTCACTGAAAACAGGACAATGGATAATGCCCAAAACATCAATCACTGTATTAATATATCAATAAAACAGGCTCTTCTATCTATAAAAATTTATACTCCTCAGTAAATATTTAGAGGTAATCAACTCATGAAACATAGGGCAGACAGACCATGTAACATGCATTGAGAGATGAGAAATGCCTAAAAAAATTTTATCTAAAAACCTGAAGCAAAGATACCACTTAGGATATATGTTATATACAAGGTCTGACAATAAAGTTCACGAACTTGCCACTGTGTGCTTTTTGTGGCAGCAGGGTACAGAAACCTCAGTATAGTTTGATGACACTGGCATATCAGCATTTCACAGCTGTGTTGTTGTTAATCTATGGCAGTCTCTTTCTGAGTGTGTTTAGGTATGCCATTGTGAGAATGTCAGAGCTTGAATTAAAGCAACGAATTAACATTACATTTCTTGTTAAACTTGGCAAGAGTGGAAGTGAAATCAGAGAGATGTTAATGGAAGTTTATGGGGATAATGTTATGAAGAAAAGAGCCATTTTCAAGTGGGTGACAGGTTTCTCTGAGGGAAGAGAAAGTGTCACTGATGAAGAGAGATCAGGATGGCCAGCAATGAGCAGAACTGAAGAAAATATTGTAAAAGTTCATCAAATTGCGTGTGAAAATTGTCAGCTGACTGCTAGGAGCATAGCAGAACAAGTGAACATTGACAGAGAAACAGTTAGGAAAATCTTAACTGAAGCTCTTAACATGAGGAAGGTGTGTGCAAAAACTGTTCCAAAGAAGCTCTTAACTGAAGCTCTTGACATAAGGAATGTGTGTGCAAAAACTGTTCCAAAGAAGGTCATATGGCACTGTCTCTGAGGGAGTTTTTAGCTAGTAAACAAATAACTGTGCTGGAACACCCTCCCTATTCACTGGATCTAGCCCCAGTGATTTTTTTCTGTTCCTGAAGATAAAGGAAATATTGAAAGGAAAGCATTTTGATGACATTGATGACATCAGGAGTAACATAACAGCAGCTCTGAAGGCCATTCCATGAAAATTGTTTCGAAGGGTGGACAAGGCACTGGCATTAGTGAATAGCTTCCCAAGGGGAATACTTTGAAGAGAACCACAGTGATATTCAGCAATGAGGCATGTAGTACTTTTACCGAGATGAGTAAGCAAACTTTATTGTGAGACCATGTACGAGGGAGGATAATATTAAAGAATTTGATTCAACTGGCTCAAGACAGGTTCCAGTGGCACGCTGTTGTTAACATGGTAAGGAGTTTTTGGGTTCAATAAAAAACGGACCTTTTTCCAATTAAGCAACAATCATCTCATCTTCTCAAGAAGGGCCCTGGTTCATGAAGTTGGTTAGATATTTTGATGTTCCTACAGTTGTTCCATCAATTACAGATTTCTTCACCTAGTACTGAAAACTGGCAACTTTAAAAACAGTCTTTAATTGGAAAACCAGAAAAGAATGGAACTACATCATCCATATGATTACTGCACCTTCCTAACATTTATCTGGACAAACTGAAGGGAATATATAAATCTCAAGAGACCTGAACTGAGATACTCACCAAGTGAACTGCCATTGAACACAGCTTCACACAGCAACTCAGACAGGCACTTAACATCTCCAAACCCCAAGTTGACTCCTTGACCAGCCAATGGGTGAACTCTGTGGGCTGCATCTCTGAAAACATCCAATTTTAGTCACAATAAAATGTGCTTATAATGGAATCCTAAAAGACCAGAACATGTTTCTGTTTCAGGCCAGTTTTCATTTAACACAGCTATTAACTTCCAGACACAAAAGTACTGAAAGGTACCTGGCATACAATATATTTATGTATGTATTATCAAAACCACAAGTCGCAGTAGAGTCCTTTAGATTCTTGACACCACCAGGACTCAAACTCCAACCCCTTGGACATCCAGCCCATATCCTGTCACCATACAAACTGCACTATTCCGGCTGAATGGGTGCAGATTGCACTATTATAATGTTTGATGTGCAGATGACATAGTTAGTCCCTGGCTTCTCATGCATGATATGGAGCTGCTAAAATAGGCCACTTCAGCCACAGTACTGAGGGACTCAGTCTCATCCCACTTCTAAAATAATAAAAATAAAAATCACAACAAATTTAAAGAAAGTTTTACTTTGTTCCATGATATTAACATTTAACACTCAGTTATGTAGAAATACTTGTATGAAGAATAAAGTGAGAGTGTGGCAAAGGGACTACAGATTTAGCTTGTATTTCTGGGGCCCTGGTTATCATGAAGTCCTGCTTACTCACCCAACTAAAGCCACTCCTTTACCAACATAGCATGTTGCATGACCAAATCCAAGAGGGAAAGCAGCCCTACTGCCCTCCACTACACCAGATATACTTGGGTGCAGTTGTCGAACAGCGTTGGACGTCTCAAACACTGATTCAAGCAAGTTATCTAACCTCTGAGTTGCTACATCAATGATCTTATCCCGAGGACACTTCTTCCACTGCAAATCCATTCAGAAGAACTCTGGTTAATGCTGTCATATTTTTCTTCAGTCTTTAAATATAACAGTAAACAAGGAGTTCTAAGTGGAACTCATAAATCCCACTTCCCTGTTACACAGACTTTCAGTCTTACAAATACAATTATGTTACAATACTTTTGGATAATATTAGGTTAAAATAACATCCAGAATAAAAAAAAATACAGGTTTTAAGAAATTATTTTAAATAAATACAGGGTGCGTCAATGAATTGGACGATTTGGCAGCGGGGTTTTTCCTGGATTTGTTGGAGTGCGGAGGATGCCGCTACTGCTACCCAGCAGACTACTATCAAAGCGTTTTATAGTTGCAATGGAACCGTGGACTGGAGCACAAGGTGCGTTTGCTGTGAAAGCATTTTACAAAAACGGTGACAGTTTTGTGATTGCTCAGCGTGAATTTCAAAGAGAGTTTGGTATTCATCGCAACTGTGCTGTTCCATCTGCCCATGCCATCAAGGCCTGGGTTCAGAACTTTGAGGCTACTGGTTCTACGCTAAAGAAGAAAGGCAGCAGCGTAAAACAGCACATACACCCAAGAATGTAGCAGCAGTGAGAGAAGCCATTGAACAAAGTCCACGCTGGTCTACACGTTGCCACGCTACATCACTCGGGCTGTCCGAAGCCAGCGTCGGCGGATTTTGCACAAAGATCTCCACTTCTACCCTATAAAATTCAAATTACTCATGCACTACATGAAAATGACTATGAAAACAGAGTTGATTTCTGCCAGACTTCTTTGCAATTAATTAACCAAAACCAAGATGTCGTTAACAACTTACGGATGAGTGATGAAGCTCATTTCCATTTGTTGGCGTTTGTTAACAAGCAAAATTTCCGCTACTGGTAAGCCACAAACCCCAAAGAAATTTATGGGAGACCATTTCACAGTTCCAAAGTCACAGTATGGTGTTATTTTTTGGAAATAGACTTCTGTCTTCAAAGAGTTAATTGAGAAAAACCAAATGCTTTTATGTTTACACTGTATTCATATGTGTTAAAACAAAATAAATGCAATTGTTTACTGTTCATTACGTTTTTAAAATTGCCCAATTCATTGACGCACTGTGTATTTGTCATGAAAATGATGACAATTGACAACAGAAGGCCTACTGTCTGCATATTCACCTGCAAGCAGAATCAGTACTGCCTACAACCACAGTCCGGGGTTTCCTATGCAGCATTATTATGATTTTACTGCACAGCACAATTTATTTTGTTAAATATTCACCATATGAAAATGCATATAGAAGTTGTAGAACTTAATAAGCTCTATATTTCGTGTAAGTACAACTTTTCTGCACAATCTCTTTTGAACCCTTTTAACCCCATTGCTGCAATATTTGCCAGAAGTCAAACAAGCATCTGTTGCTGCACAGTGCGACATTTGACTTTAGTCCACATCAAGAAATAATCATCTCCTTTTACTGCATTACTGCACTTCATTCACGAAGCTATTAAATGTTGTTTTTTCATATTTTTGCCTCACAATTTCATTACTTTAGGAAAATGGTAAGAAAATAATCCACAATGAAAATGTTAAATGGCAACTTGTCTGCCTCTGCAATTACATTCATATGGAAAGTCTCTGCAATTGCGGTATTCTCATATTTTAAGATCTTTGGAATATATTGATAAATAAAATGTATTCCTACGTACAAAAAATGCAAAATAGCATAAGGCAAGATGTCAGGACAAAACAATAACAGCAAACCTCAAAATGTCTCAGAGACATGGTATGGCTGTTTAGACATGAATGACCATGTCTCAGAGACATTGTTAATTGACAATGGGCTAAGAAATGTTATAAAGTACAATCTGAGTTTCTTATAAAACAGGGGTTGCATTACACTAATATGACAAAAAAAAAGTATATGGTTTTAGTCCACAAGTGAACTATACTGACTAAGCAACTGTCGCTTTTGGCAAAGCTAGTGCCAATTTTTGCAGATAGAGGGTGTCAGTGCAACAAATCCCCATGGCCGTTAATCTCGGTTTTCTAGACCAGAGCCCCTATTTCCTTGAAATAGCTCCTCAGAGGGCTGAGTGGACCCCATTCCAGACCCACTACTTCTCAGAAAATCTGGTACCACCGGGAATCAAACATGGACCTGTGGATCTGCAGCCAGCAACTCTGACCACTAGACCACAGAGGCGGTCACACTAATATGATGCATGATTAAATTCAACTGACAACCCTTACTGTAGACTCCACAATACCAAATTTAACTGAAATCAGTCCAATACTTTTGGAAATGAAACATGTGGCCACATAGGTGGATGCACACAATCTCCCATTTATACATTCATGTCCCACAATTTGTGCAAACAATGCATAACAACTTTTCTCAGTGACTGTTCTTCCCACCCATAATTTGACTCCATTTTAATTTACTCTGCTCTGACCTCTTCTCCTCACTCCTAACATGAAATAGCCTTGGGGTTATTGGTTCCACTAAAACTATGAGTATATTCTACATGTCACAGTGTGAGGACAGCTTTAACTTACCAAAGCATCATTCAGAGCATCCACAAAACTTTCATTAGAGATACTGAGCAGCTCCTTTGCATGCTCAATGGATGTTGACCATACCAGCGAACTCAGTTCATCTGTAAGCTGACAAGAGAACAATTTTATCACTGTGACTTAAGACTAACATTCAGGATGGTGTTGTGCATTTTAATTTTAGGGCTTAAAATTATCAGATCTTCCAGACTTCATTGTCCCCAACTTTAGATGATGTTTGTAAAAAATCATCATACAAATTTCTTATGTCGAGTCATAGTGATACATCAGCTACTTTCATACCAAAATATTTTGACTAATCACCATTTTCACATCATCCACATTTTTAAGGAAATACTTTAATACTTTTAAAGAGACTATTATAATACAAAACTTCCATTTTCATATCATCCACATTTTTAAGGAAATACTTTAATACTTTTAAAGAGACTATTATAATACAAAACTTCCATTTTCATATCATCCACATTTTTAAGAAAATACTTTAATACTTTTAAAGAGACTATCATAATACAAAACTTCAAGATTGCACAACAAATGCTGCAGAGTCTGCAGTCATCATATTTGTGCTGCTAATCATAAGAAGTTCTAAGGTAGCAAGACATGGAGGTCTCCAATGACAATAAGTATGGTAAGTTTCACATAAATCGGCCAATTAGAGACAATAACGATTATAGCCAGTAGCTGAACTCGAAGACAGGTATACAGATGGTCATACAAACACAGCTTGCTAATAAAGCTGGAACTCTATTCATTTGAAACCCCAAAATCAAGGCTCATATAGCATCTCTATGTCATGAGTCAATGTGTTGTTTAATAACACTTCTCATGTCAAGACTATGTCAGGCATTTCAAAGGAATCAGTTGTACGCTATTCATGGTAATAACCCCAACATCTCCCTGGATGGACTGAGGAAAAGCATAAAAATCTCAGTCAGGAAAGCCAGTGTCCTGCCCAAGATTTTTTCTGAGCAACTACTGAATACAAGTCTACATCATTACCTATAGACCAACCTGCTCAGTACCCCTTCCATCCTTAAGTATCTGTGATTATGATGTAATTGAAAATGTTGGTGCCAAAACAGAGTGAAATAAAACAAAATGGGTTGTTACATTACTACCAAACATTACAGTACACTTACAGCAGTATCTGGTACCTGGTTTTCAACATTTTCAGGTGAGGAGAAATTTTCATACGTTCTTCTATGACCTAGGTTGTCTTATACTATAACTGTTCTACACTCGATTAGTTTGTTTTCATAAAATGGATAATTCTTTACAAGGAGTTCACTACAATTACTTTGGACACCACCAATTGCCAAAGTACAGTGAATGGCCACAGTGTTTTGAAAACTGATTCCACTTGCATCTTCAGGTGAATACAGTACTGGCCTCTGGGATACGGTTCTGTGTAATCCAGCAGAAGTTCACAGATAATTTGGAGGAATATACTGCCCCCATCTTCAGGATCAAATAGTGTCTGCTTCTTGCTGGTTACTTGATTAGCTTACTATGCAACCCTGAAGATGGAGAGAGTATATTCCTCCAGAATATTTGTAAACTTATACCAGACTGCATAGTATCACATCCCAGAAATGAGCAGTTGATTAAAACAAATGAAATAGGAATGGAGGAACAGGAGCTAAATTTCAGCAAGTCTGAAGTGCCCCATTCAGCCTCCAACTTCCTGAATTCTTCTATGTTCACATGCTACTTATTACGCAGGTGAGTCAAATGAAAACAGTGAAACTGAGATAAAAATTTGAAATATCATGCCATTGTCCTATAAGTTGGCAGACATGTTACCAGTGCTATAAAGAGTATCCTATAGGTACCAGAATAATGCAGGAAAACAGAACGCCATCACAGTGCCGGTTTGAAGATGGCTGCTCCACTACGTACATGCACAAAAGAAGAACAACATTCTGTAATTTGTTTTTTGATCAGTGAAGGTGTGAAACCGATTGAAGTTCATTGATGGGTGAAGGTTCAGTATGGCGATGCATGCTTGTCACAGCAGCAAGTGTACAAGTGGAGTAGGAAATACAAAAATGGTGTGACGTCTGTGGCAGACACTCCTCACCCGGGTCAGGCACACAAAGTTGTGACCCCTGAGTCTACAGCAGCAGTTGAAGTACTAGTGATGGACAATCGCCGAGTGTTGGTGGATGAAATAGCCGAAATTCTTAACATGAGTCACAGATCAGTACACCATGTCATTCGAGATGTGCTCCAGTTTCACAAAGTGTCTGCAAGGTGAGTGCCATGGCAGCTGACTCCAGAATTGAAACAACGATGTGTTGACACCTGTGAATAACTTCAGCGGCGCCTTGAAGGAGAAGGTAAGGGCTTCCTTTCGAGAATTTTTACTGGCGATGAAACTTGGGTGCACTACCACCAACCAGAAACAAAGAGAACAAGCAATGAATGGCACCAATCCTCATCACCAAAACCCAAGAAGTTCTGGACACAGCCATCTGCAGGGAAGATTATGCTGACTCTCTTTTGGGTCGAACAAGGCATACTCTTGGAGCACTACACGCCTTGGGGGAACATTATCACCAGTGCCTCATATTCAGATCTCTTGAGGAATCATCTTCAACCTGCAGTCAGATCACAGCGATGTGGACTTTTGACTAGAGGTGTCCTTTTGCAACATGACAATGCTCGGCCCCATGCTGCCCGTGCAACAGTTGCAACAATCCAAGACTTGCACTTTGAGTGTCTTCCACATCCGCCATATTCACCAGACCTAGCCCCAAGTGATTACCACATGTTTAGGCCACTCAATAAGGCGATGGGAGGAAAGAAGTTCCGTTCTGATGAAGAGGTACAGCAGGCGGTGCATGAGTGATTGCGCAGACAACCACAAGAATGTTTTTCTACAGGAATCCATACACTTTGTAAACGCTGGAGGGCCTCTAATGAACGAAATGGAGACTATGTAGAAAAATGACATAGTTGTGTACTGCTTTCATTCAATAAATTGAATAAAAAAAA